AAGCAACAATATTTCGTATTACCTAAGGGTATAGATGGATATTTGTTACCGTTATGAACCATTTTGTGAATTTAGGTATAAAAAGACAATATTAATAACTCTTCCTCCGGTTGCTCTAGCTTTGGGTTTGTTCTTCACCATTTTTTTTATTTAGGAACTTCCATGCCTTAAATATAGGATTGGTCCATCGTATCATGGGTTTCTCTGATATTAATGTGCTCCAAACACAAAAACTAAAAAGCAAAATATGTTGTTTTCCGCTTCTATTTACACATCATAATTAGATCTATGACATCAATAAGAAAAAACATATTATATATATAAGTATATAAGATAACTGTAAATTTGGGTAGAAAATCATAAATAACTAAATTTTCTATAAGGTGCGTTCCAAAGTAAACTGGACTATAAAAAAAATAACAAAGGGATTTTCGGCAAAATCAATTTGTTTTATTCAAAACAGTGTCCTTCTACTTCAATACAGCTTTTTGCACGATCCAAGAGCATGTCGCAAGAGTGTTTTAGAGTGTTTTAGTGGCAGAATTCTGCCGAGTTGACAGTCCTTGGCCGGATAAAAATCCAGGTGCGTTCCGGTTACGTAGACCCGACTGTCATGGGAACGGTGTTTTAGCTCGTTGGCCGGTATGGCCGCCAATTGGCCGGCGCAAGCCTTTTGAATGACCTCTACGTCTTCATAACACTTTTCTTTCATTTGCAATGCATTTTTCCGTAAAGGAAGAAGTCGCACGGTGAATACAGTGAGTGGTTAATGGTTAAAATGTGATTTTTGGTCAAATAATCGTCCTTCGAATGTTGGATTCTGAGCAATATTTGGTCGTCAGTCAATTTGTGCGGAACAAACCGTGCACTCGCCTTTCGTAAGCCTAAATTTCAATGATAATTTCGGGTGATTTTTGATGAATTCATGCACAGTTTTGATAGAATTTTCGGTGATCACAGATTTTGATTATCCCACATGTTCGTCATTTATGTCCTCACGATCACTTTGAAAACGTTGAAACTACTCTGCTGCGGAATAGGTAATCATTGCCATAAACTTGTTTCAACAATTGAAACACTTCGGGTTGGCTCTTTGTTTCGCACGTATAACACAAAACATACTGACACTTAAAACGGAATAACTTCACTATCAATCAATAAAAAGCTGATTCTATGCGACATATACATAGATGGCGCCACCAGGGGCGCTAAATTCAAAATGTCATGTTTACTTTGGAGCTTATATCATTTTCAGACCGAAAATTTGAAGGGATTAGATTGCATTTGAGCCCTTCACTAATCAGCCCGTTCTCACTGCGTTGGAAAGATAAAAAAACAGTCATTCAAKAATTTACATCGTCTAATATTTATTAAAAGAAAACATTGTCATTTAGTATTTTGAAGTAAAAGCCAAGACGTCTTATATTAAATATTTTCCATATAATGGGAGCATTTTTTCATGTGTTAATTCGATTCTCAGGTGAAATTATATTCATTGCTTTAAAAAAAATTTGATTGTTTAAATTTTTTCTCTTTGTAGTGTGTAAATCAGCTGTCATAATGTAGTGATTTTGAACTGTAATTTTTGTATGGCGAAATCTTGATAAATTTATCGGATTAGTAGGATAAACCACTAAACGACCGAAACCCTGTGATTAAGTGTCGGTCTGCACATGGTATWAGCTTGTATACCCTATTACGCTCAAAGAAGTTCGAAACTTTCAATCGAGTACTTTGTTTGCAAAAAAAATCTCGAAAATTGCCTAATTTTTCTGAACAGTCTACTAGTATGTTTAGACTTGGGTCCAAATAAGTGATCGTGGAAYACGCTGTTTATTTCAAACAAGCACGCAGAACCGATCCAAACCGGTAAAATCCCTGATCTAGGGATTGAAACTATGAGATGTTGCAATGTAATGAAATTTAATGTATTGTAAAATCTGAAGCTGCAGGCTACAGAATATCTGTGAGTGTTTTCAGTTTTCAGATTTTACTGCATTAAAAACACCTAAGAATTTTCATGTCACAAATTATGTGGCTACCAGTGTTATTGGAGTATCATGAAATTCTTCAAGGGATTCTTCTTCAACTTCATGTTCTCTTCTGTCTTCCTCTATTACTGCTGTTGTTTCTATCTCAGTTTCAGAAGATCGATAAACTATTTGAACTTTTGTAAAGTTTTTTAAATCCGAGTCAAAGCGGTTTAAATTTTCCGGCTCTTCTTGTTGGTAAATTCTTCTAATAGCACATAACGCTGAAGAGCAAGTAATTTGGACTCGTTTTCTTGTAATCTCGTTTTACAATAAATTAATACTCAATCTTTATTTCAAAGTACAATTTCTGAACTTCAATATCTGTAAATTGCTTTGTGTGAAAATTGGGCATTTGAAGAAACTCAAATTTCAAAAGTTTGATATGATCACTTTTTATTGTAATTATTTTGTTACAATCATCAATTATTTTTCTGAGGAGTTYAATTTTCCTCTTGAATATAGAAATTCTTTTCAATGAAATTGTGTTTGACGTGTACAATAGCTTTTTTTTTGTTCCTGTTTATTCCCATTTTGAGAATATTTTCCGCAACACTTTTCGTATCTGTGTAACTCTGGATATTCTCCAAAGAAATCGTGGGAGGTGTATTGATTTGGCCGCTTGAGTGTGTTGAGTGCGTCTTGGTATAGCAGTTAGATCACACTTTAGTTTTTTGTTTGTGTTTTTACATATTTATGCATTGCAATATATCGGCTTTGCTGAATTAAACAAGTAAGCATGTTGAATAATATTTGAACACCATCTTTCTACTGTTCTAATTGTAGGTGAACATTGTACACTTTTAACATTCGTTCATGAATTTCCTTAGGTGCTACACCTTCCAAAAATAATAGCCCTGACAGACGAGCAAAATTAATATGCAGTAATCAACGCTAATGTGCATTGAAATTTTATGCTGACAGACGGCAGACTTGTGCATTTAGACAGCTGATTGTGAAATTTGTTTATTTATTAAAAAAAAAAAGTGAAATAAAAATGAATAAGAGAAGGTATTAATAGAAATTTTAGTATTTTTGGAAAATCAATATAAATTTAACGAAAAAGTTCGTTTATTATTTCCTACGTTCAAACATAATAGAGTGTAAAACTGCTTACCTCTGATGCTGTAAACGCAATGGAGGCGGCATACTTCAAGCGRCATCTGTCAAAAAATAGCAAAAATCGACCATTTTTGAGCAGTGTTGCCTACTCAAATTTGGTAAATTCAGCTAATGCAYGAAATTCTTGTGAAATTTGCATTAACATGGGTCAAATGCACAAGGAAATGTAAATTAAGCTAATGCAATTACCACTGTCSTCTGTCAGGGCTATAAGAATTTTATCAGTGCACGGTATTCAATTTTTTCCATTGTAAAAAATACTGTGACACKGCAACACTAAATGGTTTGTAAACAAAGAATGAATTGAAAGGTTGATTGTACCACCAAAACGAAAAAGTAGCAGCGCCCTCTCTTATAACGACAAAACTCATTGAACAACCTGATATTGACTCCCTATTTAGTGGCACTATTTGGTTTTGTTCGATTATTTGTTGAGCACACAAAATTTAATTGTTTTAGGTTTTTTGTTTAAATTCACAGTTTATGATCAAAAAAGTTACGTTTTCCTTACCACTGAGGTATTTGATAATAAAAAGTGTAAATAAAAGCGGAAAACAACATATTCTGATTTTATGTTTGGAGCACAATAATATTAGACCAACTCCTGTCCGATTATGCGATGGAGCCACTGTATATGTACGTACATAAATGTTAAACACCTTAAAAGCCTTATAAATGCATTTTACAAACTTTAATTACTTTATGACAAAAGTCTCCGTCGGGACATGGAGGTGTAAATGAATATCCCTTCAAAACATATTGAAATTCAATGGTTTTTATTAAATCTTTGGCATGCGAAGAATTTTTTTCTAATTCTGACACCATTATTCGTGTTAGAAATTTTTATATTCACTTCGAATAATAGTGCTTTTTTCTACATCGCACTCAATTATTATTACAACAACAAAGAAAGGCTGTATCCTTTTCAAAGTGAAAATCTCAATTTATTTTCGATAATTGTCGATAACGCCAACAGGAATATGCCCCGAGGACGTTCTTGTTTCGTCATGGATAATATGATACGAAACTCTTTGATTGGAGAGAGAGCTGTCAAAACTCGCTTCTTTTATAACATTTGCCAATGATGCCACTGCTGGAAAATATTAGGTTGGGCATTTGATATTAACTTTTGGGTATTTTGCAATTTTCACCCTACTATATACATAAACATGAAAAAGCAAAACAATTCATAAAAAATATCACAATTTGTATGCTAGAATTAATAAGTACGCAGATATGATAGATAATACATTTTTAGTAATTAACGTAACTATATAAAATAAGATAAACAAAAAAATATAAGAATTCATAAAAAAACATCGCATATTCAAGAGAAATGTTTTCAATGCATATATATTTTATATTTAATTGCTATAACTTAAAATATAATTTACATATACATATATTGAACATGTATTCTGACCACAAACTTTTTTATTATTGAAATTTTCGCTAAATTATACAAAACACTAAATAAAAACTTTGAAAATGCATATATAAATGTTAAAATGCAAAATCATTAACTAATAATAATTATTATTGCGGTTTATTTCTGGCATTCCCGATCGAAATTCCCGATCTCCATTGCTGTCAAATAATCAGGGAACGCGTTTGAGAGAAAAAAGAGAGCCAAAGCTATAGTTTCGTATCATCTTATCCATGGTTTCGTTTTAAAACGATAATGACAATGGGAATAGGGCCGTAATCGTAATGGCCCTATGAGGAATTTATTGTCGATAAATGTCGACAACGCCAACAGGAATACCAAATAGCCATTCTTATTTGTTTTTAAAACTACAACGGGAATATTGCTAACTGTATTAATAATTTTTGTGTTCTTATTCTTAGGTATACCTGCAATGGCTGGAAGTGCTATAATTGGCGGAGTGTTGCTGGCCTTAATTGAAGGTGTCGGAATTTTATTTACCCGTCTTTCTGCAGAGCAGTTTCGGAATCCTACGCCACCGATTGATGATCCCACAGCACTAGGCGATGCTGCACAATCTTTTGGTTTTGGGCAGACTCATCAACATCAGTCGCAATATCAGTGAAAATGTGTTCATATAAAATGAGCACTTATTTATACATATGCGTTGTGTCATATTTGTTTATGTATATCAATACCGGTATACATTAATTTTAATATATTTTCACAGCAATCCAATATCATTTAGAAAATAATAAAAATTATGAAGTATGTCGTTATGTTGATTTAATAGACCTGTAATATTCCGAGAATAATATCAATTAAATTGGGATCGAAATAACTTCGACCCTTGAGTTCACAATATGAAAGTTTATGTTTAGACCTGATTGGTAAATATCGAATTACTTATTTTGAAAACGTTATATCTGAACCTTGAATAGCTGCCTGAATTAAATATTTTCGTAAACTGTAATAAGGGAAGTAATATGCAGCGTTTGAAAAACTACACTACTCCCGTAACATTTTATTTAGCTCTTGCTACCGCTCTCATTTTGTCGGGAGYCACAGCCTTAGCACAACAATGTAAAAGTATGTGCTCTAATCTGCTCCGAATTTTGTTATGTAAAAAACTATAACTGTAGAGAGATCAAAAAATGAAATGTTAGGCTATGCTCTGGTGTAGCGGTAGCAAAAAATTGGGAACGGTAGCAGAGCGGAGCTAATGAAAATTTTCATGTGCTACAGCTTCCGCATGTGTTTGTTGTTTTCTCTTTTTTGCCATTTTCTATCATAATATTTAAATTAATTGAATAATACAAACAAAAAAATGTTATGCAAATCATTTTGGCCCTTGTTGCATCAAGTGACTTTATAAATCTAAAATCAAATATTTTATGAAATTTATTAATAAAGTGAACTAGATAATAATTGAATAAATTATAACATGTTTTTTATATTATGTAAAATATTTACCATATATATATTATCAAAAACATCATCTATTACAAACGTAAATGTATTAAAATACTCAATTCCTATGAATTTTCAAGATTAAATTTAACTACATATACTTTTCCCTTTTTACGTTTTCTTAACCGGCATCTTTTAAATTYACTTTGGCACAGGCACGTTGTAAGTAATTCGCGCAACCCAATTAATTTGTTCGTCCTAAAAAAACTGAATGGTTCAGAAGCAAAATAAGTACAACTCATATACTAAGCATGTACGGATATGAAAACTTTTACTTATTTCTTTCTATTTTTGAATTACTAAAATTCTCAAATGATGCTTATATCAATTTTGATCAATTGCGTAAGATTTGAAATATAATTTTTGTATTTATGAGTTGTATTGAATTTTAATATAAAGAGATAAAACGTATCCTATGTCCTTACCCTGCTTCTAAGCTACCTCCCCACCAATTTTAAACCAAATCGGTTCAGATGTTCTTGAGTTATAAATGGTATAAGCAATATGACTTTCTATAGAAAAAAACATATGCGGGAGCTGTAGCACATGAAAATTTTCATTAGCTCCGCTCTGCTACCGCTCCCAATTTTTTGCTACCGCTACGCCAGAGCATAGCGCAACATTTAATTTTTTGCTCTCGCTACAGCTATATTTTTTTACCGAACAAAACTCGGAACAGAGTAGAGCACATACTTTACATTGTTATGCTAAGGCTACGCTGTGGCTCCCGACAAGGTGAGAGCGGTAGCGATAGCATAGCAATAATTCTAGAAATTTTGCTGCTACGGAGTAGTAAATGCGAACCCTGTGCCCTATTCCACAAAACAACTCATCACTTTGTACTTTGCAAATTTTTCGTCAATTTGCAAAGCTTTCTGTTCCACAGAACTATGAAATTTGATAAGTTGAAATTGATAAGTGTAATTTGCAAAGTCTTTGCAATTTTTATGTTCTCTTTGTAATTTCTGTTCTACGTACGTTCTCTTGTGCAAAGTGCAAAGCTTATATTGAAAAGTGTAATTCGCAAAGACTTTGCATATAATTATGCTGTTCCGTTCCACAAAAACTGTAAACTCTATTTTCKCAAAGCAAAATTTGATAAGTTTGTCAAAATTTTGCAAGGTAAATGATCGCTTTGCAAATTCATATTATCACAACTAGGGGATGTTCGAGTCTCAATCACTGCGACAATACTGCAAAGCATCATATTCGACGCAAAAACTTTTGCAAATGTCAAGCGTTCGAACAACTCAAATATTGACATTTCGTCCGCGCAAAAGTGACAAAATCGGCATCAACAAAATTCGTGATGGAGGAAATGAGGTAAGCGAAATCGCTCTTTATTTTTGTTTATAACTAATTATTATTATTAATTATGTGTACTAATGAATAATATTATATTATTTTTTATTTTAAATATCATTTCCAGCCCGAAGCTATGTCACAATTTTACCAAGCTCCTCGTGAGATGCCGGATCTTCTGCGGAGAAACGTAAAAAGTCGGTATTATGGGCAAAAGTGGTCAACAAAATGAGSTTGGTCAATACGGATGTTCCGCAATCAAAGGAMCTTATGCAAAGAAAGTTTTTAAATTTATTTGCGACATACAAACGAATAAAGAAACGAAATGGGCAGACTGGGAGAGAGGCAACAAGCTTCGARTTCTTTGAAGAGTTCGACGAGGTGTACGGTAGGCGGCATTCCATACAACCSCCAGCCAAAAACCTTCAAGGCTCCATAGTGGATAGCGCCGAAGTATGTGAATGGAGTGGGGACGAGAAGACTGACGACTCTTACGAGGGTCAACTCGTAAACGAACGACGAAAGCGTCCAAAGACTGCCGCCAATGAAGCATTGGAATTTTTAAAGAATGAGGCTCTAAATGCGTCATGAAGAAGTGCTACAATTTGAAAAAGAAAAATTGACTTTTGAAAAAGAAAAAATAAACGTAATGATGAAGCTGCGGGAAACTTTAGAAAATCGTCCTTCGAATGTTGGATTCTGAGCAATATTTGGTCGTCAGTCAATTTGTGCGGAACAAACCGTGCACACACCTTTCGTAAGCCTAAATTT